TTTAACTACTGTGCCCCTCTGAGGTTGTTTCTTTATCTACAAAATTAATTAATGATAACTTGATATAATCAGAATGGAGGCTACACACACACACACACACACACACCCCCCACAGTAGCTTAGATATGAGAGAAGCATTAAGAATTTGCCTCATACATACAATCCAGAGGGGAGCAGACCAGGTAGGAGATCTCTGACGCCAGCCTCTCAGAGCCAAAGGTAACTACTGTGGTTTTCATTATCTCTCTCTGGAGATTGCTCTTATTTTCATTAGCTCTGGCCTTCTGATGGGACTGGGCAAAGGGTGAGAAAAACTCATTCACATGAAATTTTAGGGGTACCATCCCAAAGTGGCACACACAACTCTGCTCACGTCTCTTCCATCAGAGCCTAGGCGTGTGGTTACATCACATAGGGAGGCTGAGGGAGAGGATTGTCTCCAGCTATTGTCTTAATAGCAGTGGTCATTGTAAAGATCAGAAATGATGCATTAATTCATTCATTGATATTTAATTGTGAAATGTTATAGCAGCCAACTGTTTAGCAGGGTGTAAATACAAGTGTAGTGTACCTGGTAAATACAAAAAAAGATGGAATCACCCTTCTTACTTTCCCCTGGCACCTTACTATGGCCAAGTGTGGTCCAGGGTCTCAGGGCCTCAGCATCACCTGGGAGGCTTAGCAATGCAGAAGTTCATGCCCCAGGCCAGACATACTGAATTACAGCCTACAGTTTAACAATTGGTAAGGCTCCAAACTGGCCTTTTGTGAATTTTTCATGGCATTTACTGGCTATATTACTTTGATCACTTACAATGTTGTTGTGAGAATTAAATGAGATAATGTGTAGAAAACACTTTAAATCTGTAAAGTATTTCATAACATTATCTATGTATACATATCTGAAGAGAAATGTGAATCAGAAATTAGTAGAGGCTCGGCGCCTATAGCTCAACCGGCTAAGGCGCCAGCCACGTACACCTAAGGTGGCGGGTTCGAATCCCCAGCCCGGACCCGCCAAACAACAATGATGGCTGCAACCAAAAAATAGCCGGGCGTTGTGGCGGGCGCCTGTGGTCCCAGCTACTTGGGAGGCGGAGGCAGGAGACTCGCTTGAGCCCAGGAGTTGGAGGTTGCTGTGAGCTGTAATGCCATAGCACTCTACCCAGGGGGACAGCTTGAGGCTCTGTCTCAAAAAAAAAAAAAAAAAAAAAGAAATTAGTAGAACAACAAAATTTCTGTGTCAGTATGTTTTTAGATTTCCGACCTTGATAACATTCCTTGACATTGGCCTTCTATTTCTAGAATATGTGCTTGAATTACCATGCACTGTTTTGGGTGCAGAGCTTTTATTGTTTAGGGAGGTTCTAGGCATACACTTCTAAACTGAAAGATTTTGGTATATTTTTTAATCACATTCCTCCTTCTGAGGTCTAAATATTTCAGCTTTTCATGTTCTTAATTATGGTACTATTCCTTCATGGGTGTGATTGAATATATAGATTTTAACATCTATCAGAATGCAAATGATTCTGAAAAAGGTACCTAAAAACTTGGAACTGTTTATCGATGGAGAAAATGAATAAATGATAACTTCATGGTATCAGTTGAAAGAATTTATACCTAACATGAAATTATGAAGAGCCATTCAGATTCATATACCAGTAGTGAGGCTGTAAGAAACCAAGAGAATCTTCTCCTGGACTTTAGTATTCTCCTCTGTAAACGGGGAAGGAGAGGAAGACACTTGCACTCAAATGTTCATAGCAACCCAGTTTACAATCACAAAGATGTAGAAACAACCCAAATGCTCTTCAACACATGAATGGATTAATAAATTGCGGTGTATGTTACACCCCATGGAATCCTCCCTCTTCAGCCATAAAAAAGATGGAGATTTTTTTATCTTTTGTTACAACTTGGATGGATTTGGAGAATATTCTCCTAAGTATTACAAGAATGGAAAATCAAGCATCCCTTGCACTCGATGCTAAGTTGAAACATGTTGATTAACAATAAGGTGCATGCATGAGAGAAAAACTCAATGACATTTAAGAAGGGGGGAGGGGAGGAGGTTTGGTAAGTTCCCACCTAACAGATACAATAGATAGGTAAATGTCACACTTCCTGGGTGCCGCTCACAACTGCAACTTTACCTTATAAACATAAACACTATAACCTAATTGTATGTACCCTTATATTAATCCAAAATTTAAAGAAATTGGGAACGAGATTTGTTCTGCCTCGTAGTGTTTTAGGACCACAGCATGAGATCCTAGAAAGATGTGTCCTGTTTATAGAAGGAGATGTTAATATCAAGCGTTGTCACAGTGAGGATGTATGTGAATATGTATGTGAAAGAACTTACATTTACAAAAATTTTTTTTAAATTAAATCACAGCTATATACCTTAATACAGTCATGGGGTACAGTGTGCTGTTTTTATATACAATTTGAAATATTTTCATCAACTGGTTAACATAGCCTTCATGTCATTTTCTTAGTTATTGTGTTAAGACATTTATATTCTACATTTGGAAAGATTCACATGTACCCTTATGGGGTGAACCAAAGGCTTGCAAGCTGAGCCGGGCCGTGGTGGCTCCATGAGATTCTCAGTGTCTGGGCCCTGCCCTTGCCTCAGATGGGCAAAAGCCCTGTGAGAGGCAGACACAGCCGTGTGCTGTGTGTGCAGGTCAGTCAGGGGTCGGGCACATAATGAAAGCAGGCTAGGTGAGGCCCATCTGCACACAGGGAAAAGCCTAGGTTTTAGGAAGAAAACTAATCATCCAGGGAAGCTCTGACTGACAGATTTTCTGGGTCCCTAAGAGTTACACCTTTGCTCTCCAGCCTGTCACTGAGAAGAGATGCCTGCTGCATCTTCAGGGGCGTGCACACATGTGCCCTGGGAGCTTGGGACTGCTACAGTCAGGAAAGTACTACTGGGCCTGGCATTTCTTTCCGTGTTCGTTTTCATTAGCATTCAGTAAATGAATGCTGAGCTGTCACCTTGGGAGTAGATGACAGGGTTAAGTATGTACAAATGACATAGCTTTCCCTCAGGGACTTTCAGCTGGGGAGATAATAAGCAACTTTATCAGAAGGAAAGGTAATAGCTCACATTGGTACTATACTTTAAAATGGACTTTGGTGCCCGGCACCCATCTTTTAAAAATATGCATCTATATGGGTGTTTAAAGTCTATTTGTATCTGTATTGATGTCCATGGTACGTAGGAAAAAATGAGCTACACATCAAAATGTTCATTATGAAGAGTTATTTTTTATGTTCTTTGCTTTATATATACACCTTTCTCAATAGACACACATTATTTATCTAACTGTGAAAATACAGGAACCAACTTTCGAAACCTCTAAAGTATCTGAAAGGAGCGGAAGAGACAGATAGACCTGTAACTGAGCCACTCGTGAGGTTACATGGGTGGAGAGCACGTAAGACAGATAGTTTTGGATGGGCCCCAAGTGGCCAAACCAGCACCAGGGTTAAGAGCTCCAAAAGGAAGAAAATAAATAGTACTTGAACCAAAGGGAAATGTAAAACTCCTGGGACACTCTTAGGCATAGGGGTTGGCATGGCTTGTTACCTCAGTCTGGCTCTCTCCACGCAGGTCTGGTTAGATTTTATCAGGCTCAGAGACAGGGTGCCCAGTGGTTCTGTTTGGGTTTGGGACCAGTCTGCATTTGATCTTCAACTGTGGTACTGCCGAGCTACTTAACAGTTATTAATGGGCAGTTATTTACAGAGTCAGGGCTGTCATTTACCTGTCTATAAAATACTAGTAGCTACTGTACAGATTAAATGAGTTAATATGCTTAAATTCCTTTAAAAGTGTATGGACATGACGAAGGCTCAACAA